ATCGGGGTGGACTGTTTTCCCTGGGACACCCTGTATATACATATCTATATGAACAAATAAATTTTATTCTAATAAATATATAAGTATATACAGAGTTTCCCACGAGATTCTACCGTTGATTGATTTTACCCAGGAGGTCAATTCTTGAATATTCTCGCATACGTAATTGGATTCGAATTGGAATGACAGCAACTACTTCGGAACGCGTCATCGAATGTTCTATAGTATTTTCACTATCATTTTTTAATTTAATTATCTATAAACGAAAAATTATATCATAATATAGGTTACGACGGTTTACCCAGCTCTGTTTTCAAAAAAGACCAGCACCGGTGAGCCAAACATCATGCTATCTGGAAGTGCTGTCACATTACAGAGTCAGTTGAACATCTTGGGGGTTACTGCAGAGACCAACATGTCTTGGCACAGTCACGTGGCAGATATTGCTAAAAGGGCCTCCCAAAAGCTGGGGGTGCTATTTCGTACAAGACATCTGTACACACCAAGCCAATTGCTGACACTCTACAAAGCCCAGATTCGACCAACTATGGAGTACTGCTCACATATATGGAGTGCAGCACCCAAACATACCTTAATGCTTTTGAATACCGTGCAAAAACGAGCTATCAAGCTGATCAATGACCCCGCACTTACTCGTAACTTGGATGGTCTCGAACATCGCAGAACGGTGGGCGATTTATCTCTCTTCTACAGGTACTATCACGGAAAATGCTCTGAAGAGTTGGCACGTATGATTCCACCGAGAGTAGCACCTACCAGGCGAACCCGTCAAACAGACGGTAACCATGAATTTACTGTCAAACTAGAGGCACCAAGAACCTCACTATATCAGAATTCATATCTCTGGAGAACAGCATCGCTGTGGAATAAACTCCCTACGACGGTTTTCCCTGCAGGTTACAACCTGAACCGTTTCAAGACCAACATACACCGACATTTCCGCGCACTTGCCGCTTCTCGAGCGTGATAGGACATTTCCTTGCGAGTGCGCATATCCGTAAAAAAAAAAAAAAAAAAAAAAATACCATGAGTTACGTTTAAGATTCTAAAGCTGCCATCATTTGACCGAAACTGAAGCGAAAGTGGTGAAATTGGATGACACATGTAAAAGCGGCACAAAAAGTTACCCAGATCCTCGAAATTTCAATTAAGTATATTGGATGACGCGTTCTGAAGTTATCACCTGGCTGGGTAAAACCTGTTGGGACACCCTGTATAATATAATATGCATTTACATAATATAAGATGTAGTAGAATGAAACAACGCTTTTATTTTCAGTTGTTTAAAAACTCATTTTAAAATAAGAAACCAAAAGACATAAATCAAATTTTGAAAATAAAACAAAAAATAAGGAATATAGGAAACATAAATACATTTCAATCAAGCAGACATATAATAAAAATAGTAAATATAACAAAACGAGGAACATAAAAAACATTCATATAGATATTCGTAAAAATAAAAATAAAAAAATATAACATGTCATTTATCTACCCTACCTGTTAAGATAAATAAACAAAACATAATTAGCATTATTTGAAAACGAAAATTCATGCATACAATACTCACTGAACAAGAAAATATTTAAAAAAGAAAAAAAAATCCCTGTGACGTGAAGTAAAATAAAAGAAAAGCAAAGAGAAGACCAAAACCTATAAATCCTTTCTGCGGGCCTTGTGGTGGGCATATGCCCTTACTTATTCAGATAATATATCCATTTTACTAGCTTTCCCAGCTTCTATAGACAGCAGCCCCAAGCCATTAGTCGACCTTGTGTCATAGAGAAACGCAAAAAGCTTTTAATAATGAGGTTGAGTTTTGAAAACGAACGTTCTGCGCTGGCTACTGTTACAGGAGACGTCAAAAATAAGATAATACAGATGAGATTACTTCAGTAAAACTAGAACTGAGTTAAGTTCCAGATGTTGGATTAAGATAGAGTAACTCTTGTATCATACCAATTGAATCTATTGCGGATTTAGAAGTACATGCATTTAAAAAAAAAAATAGTTGTGGCCCTGGCGGGGCCGCCAAAATCACGGGGCCCCCCCGCAACTGCGGGCCCTTAGTTACGCCACTGCATTACCAGCAAACTATCTATTAACTTCAGGAACCTTGCGTTGGGGACTGATTTTTTTGTTTTTTTTTGGTTTTAAGTTGTGCTCGGGAAGCAAAAGATGTTGCGAGCGTCTTCAGCGTCTGCTGTTAGGTGCCTATTCGATTGTCAAATTGACAGTGCACAATTGCTTGAATTGCTACACAATTTCAATGTGAAAATCTACACATTCAAAAATTGGTCTGTAACAACTCTGCGCGCCATTCTGCTATGAAACTGAAGTAAAGCCAAGTTTTTGGCAGGTGTTTGCTAAAATCACCGCGCTCAAAGAGGTTGGTGAAAATCATCAGACATGCTTAATCGACAACCACCGCCACTTCAAATGAGCGCGAAAAAACGCAAAGCATTATATTGTCACGGCTTTGGGTTGCCTGACCGAAATCTTGGGTTCGTTTCGTTTATTCCAAAAATCAAAGTCCAATTAACACAGCAATAATTTATTCCACTTAACAATACACTCTGACACTAATTACTTTAATAACTAACTCAACAATTAAACTCTTACAACTCGCAATAATCACTATTTAAATCGTATCACAGTCAAACTGAAACTAACTTACAAACCAATGCCAGCCTTCTTATATATCCCTTAGGGCGGGTATTATAAAACTGCTTTGACAGTTAACTTGAAGTTAACTTTTTGAATTACATGTAATTCCAGAAGTTAACTCTCAAAGTAGTTTTATAATACCCGCCCTAAATCTATTCCTGCTAGCCGAACTGAGATTCTTGACAGCCTGGCGAACGCCACGCCACAATAATAATGAATTTTAACATTATTTGTCTTATCTAGAGATAGAGCCTTTATTTCCTAATCACGATACGATTAAAAAAGGAAAATGACATGAGAAAATTGACTCTTAGTTTGACGTCTGATTACCTGAGTTCAGAAACTATGAAGCATTTTTTGTGAGGTTACACAGACTCAATCTGTGACGTCATGAATATCACCTTCGCCCAGCCGACACCTTACCATCGTCACGTCTTATATATGATCGCGCTCGCTCTTTAGTCAACTTTCAAATTTAACAAGAGAGGAATTCAACTCGGCACTCGGCAGCTCGGCAGGGCAGCAGTCACAAACAAAACACTGATCACTAATAAACTAAACAGCAATGGGTCATAGAGAAATATTTTCTCTATCTATTCTGCATGCGGCTTGCCCATTTTCATAACCACTGCGCCAAAACAAGCGCAAGAGTAAGCCGAATCTAGAATCTGCTGAAGCACCTAATATCCACAATACTTCCTCCCGTCAGCCAATTCGGATGTTATCAAGGCCCTAAGTGCCACGGAATCAGGAGTATGCCAGAAAATAGGCAATCGGCAAATTGAACAACTCGCGTAATCGGTCGCAGCTCGCAGCATAAGGTTTGTTTGGACTTAGTTCAGGATCATTTCACTAAAATATGCATAGACTGTAAAATAGCCATGGGTAACTATAATCTACAATTAGGCCCTTGACCCAGAATGTTGATCTTTCCTTGCGTTCGTTATTTTGCTCAAAGAGCAGAGCGTGCAGAGCGGAGCTGTAATCACGTGACCAGCGAGCACACAGAGCAGTTGAACGCTGTATCAGTTGGCTCGAAATTTCAATAAATGAACGTGAATGAGCCTGCACCGAGTACACTTATTAACTAAACGAACGGTAAATTTATGCTCGGAGAACTCAGATCAAAATACCGAACGCACGGTTTATTAAAATATCAACTAGGACTTATGAAGAACAAAATTAACTACAACTCATTTAATAATAATTGGTACCTATTCAACACTCAGGATGACATAGGAAACAAATAGGTGTAGCAAAAATTCTTCAAGGTGAAAAAAATTGGCACGCAATAAAAATAATGGGAGCATTCCATTTAAGATAACAACAAGACTACAAGTAGCGCAACTGTAGGTACTTAATTTTGTAAACGTAGCATTAGCGCTTTTAAAAGATAGTCAACCATTGGTCAGCCAGTTTAAATAAGAGAATTCTTGCATAAACTCAGGTAAAAGCTATAAGTGATTAGTGAATTTTGTGAGTGAACTATAAAATATAAATAAAAATTAATGCTGTTGTTAGTAGCGAAAGTTAAATTGGACCCGCGTAAAATAAAAGCAAGTACAAAGATAGTGAGGCAGACAGATCAAAATTACAGAGACTGCAGATATTCAACGTGTCATAACATCAGCAAGATACCAGTGATAAATAAAATAACCTATATCTAACATTAGGGCACAGGTGTCGGACAAACATGAAATAACTGTAAACAAAACAAAAAAATCATGATAAATATAAAGAAAATCTTGCAATAGATTTACCTATATGTTAGATTCGAGTAATTTCTTATATTTTCTACTTTTACTGAGGTTAGTCTTCTACCCTACCTATTAGAAAAATAAATCGTGCTGATTTCTGCTGATACAAGCCACATTAATACTAGTAATTCTGATCGCGTGTGGCCTGCACATTATTACTAGTAAATCTTTTTCGATTTACATATTCACTTCACTTCCAGATTGGGCTGGTTATTGAATATGAATGTTTAAGAACCCCAACGGCTGTTGAGACCTAGTCAACCATTTCTTCTTGGTCTACACGCTTGAACCCCTAACTACTTTCAAGCAACTCTCTCGCCTCGAGGCAAAAGCCTTGGTCCACTTTTTTATATATGCATATACCTCGAAGCAGTTGCCTCATTTTTTGAAAGGAAAAGTTAATGCTTCTTCCATGAATATTGCTCATCATCTTTAGTGCATTACGTTTAAGTAGCACTAGATGGTTTTTAAATTTTTATTATTTTATTTAACCAATATGGAACAGAAAGAATTGTTATCAATAATTATGAATTAGGTACAAAAAAAAATCGAAAATAGTGATTAAGCCTTATATTACTAGCCCGATAAGTATATGAATATGAATATGAATATGAATATAAAGTATTTAGAACATTATTTTTTACTTTACATAACAAACACTTTCTCCACTTTTTTGAAGGGAAAAACTTCTTTAGTTTTCGGACATTTCACTTGGCCCTTATTCTCTTTGGCCATTTGGGTTAAACCCTGCAAAACAAATAAAAGATTTAGATTAGTGACATCTTTTAGAATAAAACATAAAGAATTAAACTAACTGCTCTTTATGAAACTAGTTACTGAAAATGGTCTTGCGTAGCGTGTTTCATGTAAGGTTTTTCTTTGCATGCCACAATTACAAATACCTTTGTTCCAACACAGCAGGAAACCTTACATTATACCGTCACGATTCTGCGCAAAGCCCAAGATATATGCGTAGAATCTGAAATTCGTATAAACAGTGGTTTCAAAACCATTTGTGGGACGGTTTTTGACGTGTTGGAACAGACCCAATAATTGATCTGCGATTTTTAGACTATAATGATAAATCGTAACTGTCCAATTATTTTATAATTATCACGATTATTCGACAATGAGTGGTGGTAACCTTGCGTACTGAAGGGAAGAAATCCTGGGGTGAAGCAGATTTTCTTTTAAAGTCATTATACTACCCATGGAAAGCAACTTTTAGATCGGAAGATTTTGAGTATGGCTAAACAGGCTGACTAGACTGTAGAGGCTTTTCCAGGGTCTACAGTCCATGCTGGTGCCGTCCTCATAGACTTCTGGCTCTTGCCTATACACCTCCTCCTCGAGTCCACAACACAATATGAGCAATTTTTAAAACAGCTTTAATTGACTGACTTTCCTTTAGGGATATTTACTAACATTGCAAAGTCACTAAATCGCAATCATTCTTAGATTTATAATCGTATAACAACGTCACTAGTCACTAGTTTCTCTAATTTAAGTTAGTTAGAAAAATCCTGTATCTATAAAACATGTTTGGATAGAAAATATTTACTTTTTGTAATAATTGATTTAATTTTACAGATTCAATCCTTACCTGTTCTCCATAAATATAACCATTGGGCAACATCATGGGTGGATTATTTTCATTCATAGGTAATCCTGTTATATGACAATACAGCCTAGATTGTGAGCAATGAGCAAATGGAAGAGGTTCAGCAAGACTATTCAAATCCTCATTACAAACTGGACAGGCTGGATTTCTGGTTGCATTATGTTCTGAATAACACTGAGTAAAATTCATGTTAAGGCAAATAGTGTTTTTTTTTTACAACGAATGTCTCTCTAAAATGGAGTGTGATTATGCGTTAATGTTATTACAATGCCCCTTTTCATAGAGAAGTAGTCCATTCTGTAAAAAAGGCTGTTATCGACTGTGATTCTCAACTTTTAACTCCATATTTCTTATCACTTTGAAATGAAAGTGACAATCAATGCGATCTATAAAGAAGAACTACTCTGAGTATCAGAGGGGGCTTTTTGTTTGCATGTTAGATGTAAGATTGAATAAGAAACTAAGAAAATTGATACAAAATTCTAGTCCTAGACAAGCAAGCTACAGCCATGATTTGGGGAAGTAATAGGTTTTTCAGGTCTTTATACAGAATTAAATTCACTGTGATTTAGATTCACTAACAAGTTATCATCTTCAAAAAATGGTAACGTTGCCAGTCAATCATATATAAATTGGAAAAACTGAAAAAAATTAACAGAACTTCAACAAGCCTAATAATATCCAGAAACAGGATGTCAATTATAATGAATGAAAATAAGACAGAAAAAGACATATCACTAAAAAAAGGCGTGGTACAATTTTATTGAACGCACACAAAATTGAGTAGCCCCTCGTGTTGCAACTACGAGGGTTGCAGAAAGCCAAATCTTGTAAAAAATGTACATAGAAAGGATAAAAAAAAACAAAAGTTTGATATTATACGAGAATTTGAGGTGCGTGATAAAAGGTACACAGTTATTTAGGTAGAGAATGGAAAGAGGATCAGGGAATTGTTGAAAAAAAAAAACAAGGGTGTTTTTCAGTATTTGATGAAAGTTGGAAATTGCCCAACAAAAATATGAACAAATAGGTATTAGACACCATTAGGTTACAAGATGTAGAGCTGTTGATCGCAATCTTGTATCGCAAATGCATGTCGTTCCTAACGTTATCTGTTTTAAAAGAATTTAGAAAACAGACAATAGGCATAGAAACAAAGAGCCAATAATTTGCTACACCGATGATACTATTACAATATCCGTATAGGAAAACGCAGTAACTGGTAGTGGTAGTAGCAAAACAACCCAGAAGGTTGACAATCTGAACATCAAAATTTAAAGGCATCTAAGTTAAATTATGAGCAACTGAAACCTCAAAGAAGAGGTGCTGATCCAACAACCAAAGCAAAGGTGAAGCACAAGCAACTATAATATAAGGTTTCCTCCATTGAGAAAAAACTAAGAGAAGGAAGCACATTCACCAGTCAAAGTAGACTGATAGTGACCTGTACAGTCAGATCAGGAAATGCCTATACTAATCACCACAAATACCTAACCTTTCCACCACAGAAATGAGGTGACATTGGGTGGTATGAATTAAAACGAAGTACCTGCTACTACTACAAATATAAGTACCTATATTCTCCATAGTATTTACTTCAAAACGAAGTAGATACTACATTTGGAAACTACTGGAAACTAGTAAATCCTTCTTTTTGAACTAAGTACTACGGAGAATATACTAATACTTGTAGTAGTAGCAGGTACTTCGTTCTTATTCATACCACACTCATGGCTCATATGAATAAAACAGAAGCAAATGCTTTTAATGAAGTTTTTTGAGATAAACATATTCAGCTGTAATGCAACAAAAAGAGATGGAGATGAAGTAAAAGCATCTGCTACACTTTATTCATACGACTAATGAGTACGGGAAATACCTACTCGGATGAATGAAGAAGGAAGAAGATAGAGGAAGCCTGTGGAGTGCCACAAATTAAGGATTGGTGATCTTAGATTAAGACCTATTTAACTCATTTTTTCAGCCAGATACTGTTCAAAAATCACTCATAACTCTGTTTTCATTTATCAGATTACATTAATTCTTCTATTGCCTAAAAGAGATAAGAGACTAACGCATAACACATTCAAGCAATTTTGGCTGTTATAAAAAAGGATATGGTGTCTTTAAAGCTGATAGGCCAATTTCAAGTGATACTGTAAATGCTGACTGTGAAGCCAGCTGGAACAATCTGTAATTTTCTTGACGAAATTGTTTGATTAGATCATCCCATCTTCTGATGTCAAATAACGAGGCGTAACGTACGATATCAACGTCTGTTGGATAAGCCAATAAAGCCATAACTTTCTGCAAAAAAAAAAAATTATTACATTATTACAAAAATAAGATCTATACCTGTATTGTGTCTAGATGTTCCTCCTCGAACCCTGGAAAATGTTTACGGGCATGCTTAATAGCATCTATTCTGCGATCTTTTCTAATCAGTTCGATAAATTCTTGGACTCTCAAATTAAATTCCATTGTTGACTTGAGCTTCCTAAGTTTTGACCGATTATCATGGCACCACAATAGGCATTTATGGGTTTCATGATCTTTTAGGGATTTCTCGACTTCCCTTAAGTTCAAAAAGATATCTGTATAGGAGAAAATTATCAATGATTGTGTATAAATACATTATTTTCTACCAACCAACCGATATTTGTAAATTCTTTCATTTCACTGCGTTCAGCAAGTAAAACAGCTGACTGATAAAATCCGTGGCGCAAAAAATACTCAATTACCATTCTGTCCAATCTTTTCCTACGCCAATTAGTTAAAGTACCTATAAGAAACATGTGTATGCAAATTTTATTTTAAACTAGGTACCTATGCCAAGAAATACCTCCAGTATGTGTTGAATGGTCCTTAAGATGTTCCAAACGCCTTTTGCAAACATTGGATGCGTTCATTTCTTCCGCAATGCTTTCTTCAGCTTTACGCTTTAGAATTTGAAGTTTCTCCTCCACACCACCTGAAAAAAGTTTGCCAGTAAAAGTGAAAATAATTGAGCAAATGTCATTGAAAATTTTTAATCGACAATATTTCTTTACCTAATAGATGGGTTATTTCACTGGCTTTAACTTCTTTTCCTGAAAGGCATTTTTCCACTTCAGCAACACTTTGCTGGACATGTGAGACTTCCCTGTCTAAACTTTTTTGAGCCATTCTGAATTTCTTATTTAGAATCTCGTAAGGCACCTGAATGCGAGAAAAAAAAACCTAATTAAGCTGCTCAATTTTATGCTTAAAGAAAAATTACAGAGTTTTGACAAGAAATAAATAATATACGTATAAGTAATTTTAATTCGACAAAAATAGATACCTTGGTATGTATTTATGACTACTATTCACTAATATGGAATGAAGGTATTATATGTGTAGAGAAAGACAAGTTAAAATTAGAATCTTGTTTTGATGTTTAAAATGTTAAATGTTAAAAAAAAGCTTGTAATTTACCATTGAGGGGGGTGTTAGAACTATATTGTAACTATTGTACTTGAGTACTTACAATATTCTGTGCTACAATGGTGAATCAAAAATAGAATAGAAATTTAATTACCTGTAAGGAAACATTTATGTCAATAATGAAAATTGGGGTAACAGTTAAAAAAAAATAGTCATTCATATTCATTAAAAACAGATTCGTGTATGTTTATTTTGATCCCCAGCCTTCACAATCCCATTAGGAAGAATATATTTTTTGACCCTAAAATTTGCTAAGATCTTTCTGAGAGAGGTAATTCCTCCAAAAACCTAATTGATAATTTATAATATTGAATTCCTGACTGTTGGGTAATAATTTAGAATAAATTTTTCTGGGCTTCGGTCAATAAAACACATTGATTTGTTTCAAGTTAAGGTTCGGTTTGTTCAACCATCATCCAGACTTTTTTTTTCCTAAAAATTGGATAATACCTACTGTGTTTACAAAATTATATTAGGTAGGTACCTACATGATTTTATACAGAATAAAACTACAAGGCCGTTATATTGTTTCTAACTGATTTTTACATAGAAAATTTATTGAACTTACCCTTTTTATAGTATCATTCTTATTTACGTAATAGAAATCCTATATGCATTCAAAACATTTTTCATACTACGCTGGGGACTGATTGAAGGTTAAAGCAAACTATTTTATTACTTAATTTTTTTAGTGTGCGAATTATTACTTCCAAGATACGTGGCTTAACTATATATTTCATTTTAACTGGGTGTTTTTATTTCTGTTAAATGTAACTGTGTGTTCTATGATTTTTAATTTGTGATTAGGTTATGACAGATATCACCTAGGTTTTCTTGATTGCATTGGGATGCTTTTTAATTTGTACCATCTCATTAATTTTTCTTCTATGATAGGTGCCGTATTTCACTAATATTTCTGAATTTTCAAAATCAAAATTAGGTAGGTATGTAGTTTTTGGTGGGCATGGTGAGAAGTGCTGGTTTTGTTTGGCTAATGTCGGTTTTATCACATTCTAAGCAGTCTATTTCATAAATAATATAAGGGAAGTCAGCTTTGCAGATTTTTGGTTTTAAGTTAGTAAAAATCATATTTCCCAGGTTATTTGTTGTTTTTTTGGCTATATATAATAATATTATGAGGTGTTAGTATTTTTGATATTTTCTTGTTTATTTCCGAAATATCTGGTATAGTGTTACAAATTTATTAGCACGCTGGCTTTTTGGCTAGGATGCTAAGTTATACATTTTATTTATTATTTTTTCAATTAATGGTTTGTAAAGTATTTGGATAATTGTTTCAATTTTGGGACTTCTTCAATTTTCTCAATATTATCAGATCTATATTCTGGATCAGATAAGGTAATGGCACGGTCTATAAAGGCTGTGATTTTGTTTATATATAATAATAAATAAGGGTCGGTCAAAACCGATTAACAAGTTTAGTAAAAAAAGATGTTTTGGTAGAAATTTTTCAACAAAAAATTGAACTAGCTTTGAAAAAGGCTCTGATAATTAAAGTTTATGAAAATGTATCGACTAGTCGCTTTTAAGATAAAACCATACCATTTTGCATGGGAAAAAATTTCGATTTTTGGCAATACTTATGGTTAAATTGGAAAATTGTATGAGGTTTTGCCCCGGTAGTTAAGTAAGTGTCTAGCTAGGATATTAACTTCTTACATCTACAACTGATCTTCTCTGAGTATGTCATAAATACTCTGTTTCTTCTGCTCAGATTATACAGGGTGTCCACTTAGTGCGATATCGGACAATATCTCCTTACAGGGTGACGCAAGAAAAAAAATTTAAATTACAAAGTTATTTGATACTCTAATATGCATTAGTTGAAACTATTTTTGAATATACAGGGTGCTCCGTTTATGGAGTATGCGACAGAACTTTGTTATTTTAAATGGAATACCCTGTATGTGATTGCATATTTGGATTCTACGTAAAATTCTGAGCAGATTTCATGTAATGTACCCTATACCTAAGTTCAACTGTTTTGGAAATATTGACAGTTGAAAATTGACTTTTTGCAACTTTGACAGGCTGTAAAACCTAAACGATTAATTTTAGACGAAAACCGATTTTACATTCCTATCTTAGAATTTCATAAACTTTCATTTGACACCAACTTTGAATTTAACCGGAGATTAAATTTAACTGGAATTTTTAATCATGGATTAAATTTAAAGTTGGTGTCAAATGATAGTTCATAAAAATCTAAGATAGGAATGTAAAATCGGTTTTCGTCCAAAATTAACCGTTTAGGTTTCACAGCCTGTCAAAGTTGCAAAAAGTCAATTTTCAACTGTCAATATTTCCAAAACAGTTGAACTTAGGTATAGGATATATCACATGAAATCTGCTCAGAATTTTATGTAGAATCCAAATATGCAATCACATACAGGGTGTTCCATTTAAAATAACAAAGTTTTGTCGCATACTCCATAAACGGAGCACCCTGTATATTCAAAAATATTTTTAACTAATGCATATTAAAGTATCAAACAACTTTGTAATTTAAATTTTCGTTCTTGCATCACCCTGTAAGGAGATATCGTCCGATATCGCACTAAGTGGAAACCCTGTATAACAAGTGAAAGATTCACCTGAGATTAATTATCATGTGAACCAGATGGAATTCCCTTGCTTTTTGAAAAGAAATGTCTGTACACCCTTGCAATGCCCCTAACAAATCCGTAGCTATCCATTGCTCATTCCGGATTTCTGGAAGTTCAAGTTTTTAAAACTCATATGTAAGAGCGGGTCAAGAGAGGAGATCACACAAATTACAAGGCTGCTTACACACAGTCTGAGATTTCTAAATTGCTTGACTGTCTCATTACCAAATTGTGGAACAATCAAAGACACTGGTCTATCTATATTATCATGAATGTAGCTCCTATTCCAGAAATATGGAAATCCTCCATAGTAGTACCAATCTTTTAAAAGAGGGACAAACTGGAACGATCAAATTACAGACCATAATAAGTAAGTAAATTAAAATAAATTTATTTATTTTTTGTCAAAATCATCTCTTAAGATTTTGAATATAATATGAACTAAGAGGTTTTTTGGGGATGCTGATTCTTCATCTGATACAGAAAATTATCTTAAATAAGCCCTAATATCTTTTTCCCAAAAATACAACCCCCTTTTACCCCCTAACACCGCAGGCCAATGGTGAATAAAAATATTTGCTATATCAAATAGTTAATTTTTCTAACATACAATCACCACCAAAATTTGAATAAAGTCGCATTATTAATAACTAAGATATCGGGGTGTATTCATGAAAAGCGGGACACACTGTAAAGATACATCAGTACCTACCCTAACACATTTGATCACAAACTGAAAAAACAAACAATTCAATATTTCCATCATTGACTTCACCTTATTAACTTGACACAAAATTGCGCGAGCCAACAGCGGGAGCGTTCTTTTAACGTTTGGCGTTTGCCACAATTGCCACTAAAATAACAGTATATGAATATGAAACATATACTCACTTTCGGCTCATTTTTGGACCCGAAGGAATCTTCGGAAATGTCCGAACGGCATTTAAGTTTTTTTGCTGTGGTAGCAAAAAAAACATTACTGCTACAACAAAAACACGTCTTGCCGATTTTTCTATTTTTAAATGTGCAGTATACAGTACTTAATTATTGTGTGGGTGAGTGTTTTGATGTAATTTTAAATGGTAAATTTTGTGCCGAATTTTATTGTACTGAAGGTAAATCAATAATTTATACTAATATATAGGACTCAATAGTTATTGCTATTTATGTTTTAGACAAAAGAAAAATATTTTGAGAAAGGCTTTATTGAGCCGAAACGGAACAAGAAGTGTCTATCTATTTTAGGAAAGTCCTATTTAAGGGTAGAAGAAATAATTTCATGAAATTTTAGTTTTGTCATAACAGTAAAGTAATTTTTTATGTAGGACTAAAGTAACATTTCCTCCTCTGAAAATTTTTTTGATGTACCAGGTAAAAAACCCCCAGCAAAGAATTTGCTCCTCGATTTATAGATCAATAATGCATTCAAATACATAAAAAACGCTTCAGGTGTAGATCACAAACAACTATATATCTAGGCAATTTACAGAAATATTATTATTGTTTTTTCTTTTTTTTTGTTAAAGTTCACATCTTCAACCTAACAAAGCTTAAGGCAAGACGGTAGCATGGTCTCAAAGGTCATTCCAGAAAGCTGGTTCAGGAGGAGAGCTGCATTCTGGTAAGGAAAAACTTTCTCAGCACCAGAGTCATGTATCAGTGGAATGCACTTCAGGGAGATAAAAGATACAGTTTGTGCACCATCAACAAATGCCTTCAAGAATGGACTGGACATGAATCTCAAAACTATAAACGAAAACATTGTTGATTACATATCCGATCAAGCTTCGATTGATATTGGAAATTGCCTGGGATGGACAAATAATGAAATATGTGTGTAACAATCTATGATATTCAGCTGTGATTCTATGACTAAACCAAAAAAGAGAAGGTGTTGGATGTACACCAAAGCGTTAAAAGGAAAGTATGTGTAATGGTGTATTAGATTTCAAACACCATTACACATACTTTCCTTCAAACCAAAAAGGCTGAATCATGCGAGAAAACCCAAATACGCAGCAATCTCATCGGCATTGCCGCTTACTGCTGTTGAAAATAATAATAATAATAATAATAATAATAATAATAACATTATTATTTTTTAAT